AATATTGCGCCGCTACTGTACAAGCGCGTCCGGTTCGAGGGGAGTACGCTCCGCAGCCGGGACGAGGAGTATCAGCGCCGGCTGCGCGATACGCTGGTGGAGCATGCGCTGCCCAAGTTCTGCGACGGGACATTCCGGGTGTTTGTCGAGAAAGTGTTCCGCATGGACGAGATTGTGGCGGCGCACCAATTGCTAGAGAGCAACACGACCAAGGGAAAGATTATCTGTATGGTGGAGTGACTGAGTAAGTAAATGAGTAGTCATTTTTCGCCATTGAATATGACGCCCATTATTGGCTGGCCACAATCCCCCAATCAAGTAGAACCAGGAAAATCGGATTGTCGACCAGAGAGTATGAGGACGATGAGATCATCGCCAGTGTTTTGCCCCCGCGTATCCCCAGTGCAGAGAGCGCTCACTGCCCTTTCTAGTTACCCTTTCTTCTCTTCCTCTCCCTTTCCCGTCGTAATGCTCATTTAATGAGGTATCATTTACTGATCCATATTTATTATTAATATGCAATGTGATCCCTCGAATTGAATCCGGGCTGCTTAAGTAATGCCCGGTGGGCCTTCTAGAAAAAAAGTCAGGATCCGTCTGACTAGGATGCTCCACCGGAGGCTGAGCGAAGGAAGAAGGACACCATCAAAGTAGATGGGGAAGGAGATCTGAAACTAGCAGTAGATCATAGCTAAAACAAACTCGTCATGTCCGAGAAATGGTTCATGGTCATACATACTGAGTGAGTACGACGACCGGGGGCTACAGCTATTATCGTGGCTAGAACAAAGATCCTCCCGTCCCGGCCCCAAGGCTTCTGGAAGGAGCCAAGAATGCCCCTTCTTCGTTCCCCGTGTCCCGGCCACCCCCTCCCCTCCTCGATAGTCACTCTTGTCTTCACACACTCTCTTTCTCGTCACTCACCCTACTTGACCGTACCCTCCTTCCCCTACCTACCCTAGACTGTCCGATACTGTTCCTTTCCGCCACACACTCACACCCTCCTAACATGCTCCTCTAATCCCCATCACCGCGCCCGCCCACACCTAATCTTGCCGATCTGCGCCCGACGCTCCCTCGCCCGACCATTGAAACAGCCATCCACCTCTTCCGCCCCTGCGCTTCAAAACTCACCTCACCTCATCTCATCCCGTCTCATCTCACGTGCACCGCCGTGGGTGGCGTGGTCCTCTTGTCGCACACGAGACATCTTGCTACATTGCGATCATCATCGGGGGTCTGGGCTTTGTCTCGGATTCCAACGTAACAAAGCCTCGCAACTCGGACGGGTTCAACTGCAGCCAACAGACAACCACATTGTGGGATTCGGTGCAGTCGCGTCCCTTCGAGTTGTTTTCCATCCTTTGTTCGTCCATCCGGATCGCGCCGCTCGTTTTCTCTCCCTACCCTTCGCCATCCCGACCTTTGAGCCATATGCCCACCCGCCCAGATCCCAAACCTTCCTCTATCTTTTTTGTCACTCCCCTTGGCCTTGCTACGCTCCCGTGGTTCGGGCCCTAAAACCATGGGGGATCCGGTGGAATGTCCGGGCGTGTACATCGACGACCGCGTCCGGTCGGAGCGATGGGTGCGCCGTAATTCGATTGATGCCTCGATGCCCCCCGTCGCATCCTCGTACTTTGAAGAGCCTGCCTCGTTGCGGAACGATGTAGTGGCGCTCCTGGATGTGTGCAAGCAGAGTGAGTATCCCCTAGCCATCCGACGTCGTGCCTTCGCTCACTATCCACAGTCTATCTCTGTCATACCGGCTCCTCCTTCGCCGGGAAACTAGCCGAACTGAGCGATGCTACTGGCGACGACTGTACCCCAATATTTGCCTTCTTCGATGTGGATTTTGGCAGCGACGAAATAAATTTCGCCCGGCGCAAAGCCGGCCGTGCTTCATGGACTGACACCGCTCCTCCATCACCCGGATCGATACACCGCACGTTCACATTTTCATCGCAGTTCGATGAAGCCCGTGGCTTGTCGCTTTTGTCGGGGGTCTCCAACGATATCCAAGTTCAAGAATACCCGAATCTAGTGGTTCCGATCGCTATTTTGCGCACGGCTGGTTCGGATGCCCCCGGCGATCTCGCATCAGTCGGAGAGTCGCAGGTACGGAGTAGTTTCTTGACCGTGGAGCATAAACAGATCGCTCGGTGCCTGGACGCCGGTGCTGTGGATGTGTTGACCACTCCGCTGGATCGCGTAAGAATCCAGGGGCTCGTGGTTCATGCCTATCGCACCCGCCGGGCAGCCCGGAAAGAGATGTCTCGCTTCCTCGCCCGGAAAAAGCTGCGAAAATATTCGTGGGTCGGCGTTCATGATGAAGAGCCTTACGCATACCTGCGGGAGGCGATGGTGTCCAAACTCATGAAGGGCATTTGCAATCCGGAGGAGACCATTGAAGAATTCCAAGATCGGGAGCTCAATATCGAGCCCAGCCGGAAACCCATCATCAAAGAGCGGGTGGGGAGCTGGAAGTTCTCGGCCCATGAGTTCTCGGAGGATGAGCTGGTTTTCGGAGCGTGCGAAATGCTCCAGCATGCGCTCACCATGCCAGGGCTGGAGCAGTGGTGGTTGTCGCCCGATGAACTGCGGAGCTTTCTGCTCGCCTGTCGCGCCGCTTACAACAGCTTCGTCCTCTATCATAATTTCCGCCATGCGATCGATGTGTTGCAGTGTGTCTTTTGCTTTCTGCTTCATATTGGCGCATTACCCCCCTACGAGCCGATCGGCCAGGTCGCTGTTCCAAAATCCACCATTGCCTCTCTTCTTTCGCCTTTCGACTCCCTCACTCTTCTGATTTCGGCAATTGGTCACGATGTCGGTCATCCGGGCGTGAACAATTTCTTCCTCGTCAAGCTCAATGCACCTCTGGCGCAGCTCTATAATGACAATTCGGTCTTGGAGGCTTTCCACTGCGCAGCTTTTTCCCAGATTCTCCGCCGGCAATGGCCCGCTGCCTTCAAGGACAAGCAGCTACGCAAGCTTCTCATCAGCTCAATCCTGGCGACTGACATGGGCGTCCATCAAAAGTTCATGGAGCGGATGGGATCGCTGCAGGAGAAGTTCCACGAGAACGGCAAGTCCGTCGATGGCTGGAAACCTCAGGACATTGACATGTATAAGACCCTTCTCTGTGGCTTACTGATCAAGTGCGCCGACATCAGTAATGTCGCCCGGCCGTGGAAAATCGCGGAAAAGTGGACTCAGATCCTGCAGGAAGAGTTTGCCAACCAAGGCGAAATGGAGAAGGAGGTTGGCATGGAGACTGCCCTTTTTGGCGGGCCACCGGAACTGGGCAACATCTACAAGCTGGCCACCGGTCAGATTGGATTCATGTCGATCTTCGCTATGCCTCTCTTTGAAGGCGTCTCCGATCTCATGCCGCAATTACAATTCACAGTGGATCACATCTGCCGCAACAAAGCGCAGTGGCAACAACTGTCCAATGCCGAGTTACATCTTCCCATTGATGACCTAGCCGAACTCACCGTCTCGCCTCGCTCTCATAGCCCCCCAGCCCAGCCAACCGAGGATTACGACGAAGATAGAACACCCGTCGGTCCTACAGCAGACGCAGCTGCAGCGCTCGAGTCTCCCCGGTCCTCCGTGGGCATGGGCCTCCAATCTATTGAACCCGTTGTCTCACCAGATACTCCCGGTCCTCAGATCGAGATCACGGGCAGTCCCATGGTACCCGATGTGTCGTCTCGAAAGTCATCGAGTGCCATGCCAGACCTCTCGTACTTTTCCATTCCTCAGTCGCGACAACAGGGGCATGGGTCCGATGGAACGACACCGTATCATACGCCGCTCACAGGTGTGAACCGTTCTTCAGGGGACCCCGCCGTTCTGGCCGCTGTCTTATATGCCAACTCAGCAACCAGAAACACGGCCGGCGACAACCAGGCAGCCGAGTCAGCAACCGACAGACCGAGCAGCTCTCGCCAAGGCCTTTCGTCCTCAGCATCGCGTCATCATGCACACCATAGCTCCTCGGGTCGCGCGTCTGCTCCGTCGGGTTCCAACCGCAACAGTTGCACGCGAACGCAAAGTGTTAGTACCTATAGCAACAACATGACCCCGATCTCGCCCTCGACGAACGCCACCAGTTTCTTGGCGGTGGACAGCGGTGATGAGAGCCGGATCTCTGGAGACAATTCGTACCAAAGTGATCCTGGTGCCCCCTGTGACAGCAGCACTCGCCCCAGCACGTCCGATGCCTGCACTGGAGAACATAGCAACAACGGTAGCCCAGGCCGGAGCTTGGGTACCAGCCATTCTCGAACCGAGAACGGATCCAACAAGGACTACGCCAGGACCGCCGTCAACGGAGCTCGCAGCCCGACCCAATCGACAACGACTGGGGAAAGCATGAATTGCAAGGGCTCTCCAGGAGATGACTCTCGTGATGGGCTGCGCAGACTCCCGAAAAAGCGGAGTCGCCTGCGACTTGCTTTCTGGAGACGTCGCAATAACCACCATGAAGTCCGCGGCGGGTCTTGAATTTGCATTCTGTTTTCCGGTGTTTTGGGGTAGGGAAAACATCCCCAACACGTCCTTGTATAATGTGATAATGGCTTCATGAATGGTGCATTTTGCGACGAGCGTTAAGGCTCTCTTGACAGAGTGGCATGATCTCACGACAAATCGACGCGCCAACAGACTCGGATGCGCCTTGGCTACGGTCTACCACGATGGTATATACAAAGTCCAGATCAAGAACGACATACTGGCTATTTGGCAAAACCAAAAAATGCATACCGGCGCAGGCGGGAACTCGTATGGTTCGCCATTTACCTTCTATCCATCTTGCATCGGGCATTTCCTGCCCGCTTTTGTATGTGATATGCCGCACCTTCGAGGGCGGCCCTTCTTTTTGTGGTCTTTTGGGACGGTCATCTCCATTAGAGCCCGGTTCTAGGCCGGGGTTTTCTTATCATGTTTTGGAATAGTCTATTATCTCTCCAATATATATTTATCTTTCTCTCTCACTTGCAATCCTCGCATTCTTTTTTGTCACTCTGCTTCGCGGCCTCCTCCTTCAATGCCCGATCCGTATGTCCCAGGTCCCTATCCGGGGCAATGACATTGCGCACCAGCGACTTGAGGATCTTGGTATCTGCAACGATAATTAGTTAATGAAACTCGCAGTTCTATCCTCAGAATACCAAAAAAAAAAAAAAAAAAAAAAAAAAAAAAAATAAGATAAAGTAGAAGAAAGAAAGACGGCATACCAGGAAAGCCCCCATCCCGCTTCCGATCCCACAGCAGCGTCTCCTCTCGTCACCGGACCGGGCCCGAGTCCAACCTCCGTCCCCGAGCCCGTTGGCATTTGCGATGAAGCGTGCCAGATCGTCACGGTGAAGACACCGCCGGTCACGGGCACGAGGGCAACTTCGCCAAGGTCGGTGCTGAAGGTGGAGAGGAGTTCTTGGGCGAACTGGAGGTCCATATATAGTCGTTAGTTAAGAGTTGGCTTTGCGGGTGGGTTTGATTGTATATAGTTGGAAGATGGTCATATGGAGTGAATGACATAGCTAGCTGATAGATATAGTCGAGAGGGGGAGAGGGAGAGATAGAGAAATCGGTGAATGATAAAGAAAGAAAAGGAGGGATGATACGTATGCAGCGCGCAGCATCCAGCGACACTGCGTGCAGAATGCGATTGCGATGCGCGGGAGATGCACTTGCTCGCGGGCGGTGTTGCTGGTCTTGGGGATGGTGGCGGTGGGCGGTTTCTGTTCGATTGCGGGTGTTGGTTCCGTCATGATGGAATGGACTTGCGGCAGACGATAATGCAATATCTCTAGCTAGACTTGAGATTGTAGACGAAAGATAGTTAATAATAATGTGGGTGATGTCAGCGGGGAGATAACCCGATTGGATTGGGGCGGTCAGCTGATTTACAGTCGATCGACAACCAGAACTATAAGAGGTGGTATGGAACTATACGGAAGTCACGCTAGAGATTGAAATTTCCCGGTTCGTTCTGTGTGTACAGACTGGGTACAACGGTCCCGCCGCAGGATCGCTAGGGGCGTCTACATGAGTCTAACCCGCGCCCAGCTTTGGGGGCCAAGCCAGCCATCGGGGTATCTTAGGGAGGGTGGAAAATCTCTTCAGAATGGTCATGGATGCGAATCGAATCTATGATACACGAATAGCAGCCAACTCTCAGACTCCACGAGGCGGAGAAAGCGAGAGTTTTTTTGGGAAAAAAAGAAAAAAGAAAATCCCAGAGACAGTAAGACGCAACAAAGGAAATGGCTTGTTTCAAATTCAGATCAGAAAATGGTGGTAGGGGGAATAGAAGACAGGAAGTAAATAAAGAAGAAACGTGCCGCTCACGGCCACAGGAAACAAAAAGGGACTCGCCAGTTCCCGGTCGTAGGCGCGGAAGAGGGTTTGTCGTGCCGGTCCAGCAGACGAGATATTGTCTTCAGCGCGCCCACAGTCTCGCTTGTCCGCGCCCGGCAGCTGAGCGAAGATCGCACGGGTTGGGTTCGGATCCAAGGGGTAGTAGTCGTGATGATGATGAGATTAAAGGTAGAGAGACAAGAGGACAAAAAAAATGGCAACGTGGTCATGGCGATCGGGAACCGGCGAATCAATTTCCGGTCATGAGTCCATTACATGACGGTGCAGCAGCCGGCCTGCTGCTGCGGAGCGTAGGGGTCCTCGCGCTTGTCGACCTGCAGGGGAGGTTGAGTGTCAGTTCCAAACCCAGCTTCCACATCGGGCCCAAACAATGGAGTCGCATACCTGTCCCCATACGGACGGAACCATGAAGTCGCGGGTGTTGTTGCAGTAGCTGATGAGCCTGTAGAAATTGGAGACCGTCAGCCGGCTGTGCTTTGTTTGGGTAACGAAGCGGGTTTAGGTTGGGTCAACACTCACGAGAGAGCTGCCTCGGACACCTTGACCCGTGGACGGTCCAGATCCTCCTTTAGACGGGCATTGAGCTCAGTCAACCGGCGGTACTTGAGGTCGGCCACGCTCTGCTTCTTATTCTTGACATCACCCCCGGATCGAAGTTCGTAGGCCGGCATTGTGGTGTGGTGGGTTCGAGGTTGGAGAGCTGACAGGGGGCCGCGGGAGGTGGAAGAAAGGGGGGGCGGGTGATGCGGTAGGCTGTTGTGGTAGTGCGAGAAGGGGGGGCCGGAAAGCTGTTTGTCCCGACGACAAACCAATGGGAGAGGGTGTGTGGGCGAGGTCTTCCCGACAAAGAAGAGATGGAAGGGAAATGAGAAAAAGAGAGAGAGCGAAAGTTGGTTAGTTGGGGAGAACAAAGGAAGGGACTTCAGCCGTTAGTCTAAGAATAATGGGGGGAAAGAGAAGAGAGAGAAAGGGAGGTCCGAGTGCCAGGGGGTTCGGTACGGTATGTAACCAGTACTTCCGTCCACACTGGTCAACCGATGTACCTATACTGGGTCGGATGTGTCGCATCCACAGCCTGACATGCAGACTCCTCGCTATGGCTGAGTCCCGGGATGCCCATGCGAATATTCGTGAGACCTATAGTCGGGCAGGTCATAGTTGACTTGCCAACGTCGGTATGTAATGCCAATACCAGCTGATCGACACCTGGGGCATACACACACACACACAAATCACCTGACCCGAGGATCGCTTATCCCAAAGTGGGAGAGACTGGAGTGGGTTCCCAATTTTCGCTGCTTCACGCACAACCAAAGCCCCGACTCCTCCCACCCTTCTCCATCGGGCCTTCCGCGTGGCAGCATCTTTTCACGGCCTCACCTTTCGCTGCGCCGTGTTTGACGCCGGACTGCGCTTCCGCTCTTCCCTCCTCTCCCGGCCAACTTTTTCACAAAATCTCGTTACCGTCCCACAAGGGGTGGGTTGTTGCCCGTCATGCCGCCTCCGCCGCATATCAAGCCTGAAAATGTCCTCAAGGTAAGCGCCGGTCCGATACTGATGATGGAAGTGCGCTGATGATCTTTTCCAGAGGGCCCAGGAACTCATCGCCGTGGGCCAGTCCCCCGCCGCCCTCACCGTCCTGCACGAACATGTCACCTCCAAGAGGACGCGTAGCAGCCCGATCGCCTCGCTCGAGCCCGTGATGCTGCTGTTTGTGGAGCTGTCGGTTGACCTGCGCAAGGGAAAGGCTGCCAAGGATGGGCTCTACCAGTACAAGAACATCGCCCAGAACACCAACGTGGGCACCATCGAGGTTCGTGGACCAAAAAAGATTCTTTGTTCGGACACATCTGATTTTAGGGGTATAGATCGTCTTGAAGAAGTTCATCGAGCTCGCCGAGCAAAAAGTCACCGAGGCTCAGGCCAAGGCCGATGAGATCCAGTCGTCCCTCGAATCCGCCGCGCCTTCCACCAACGTCGAGGATCTCGAGGCTATCGAAACCCCGGAGACCATCCTGCTTGCGACCGTCTCCGGTGAGCAGTCTCGCGACCGTACCGACCGCGCCGTCGTCACTCCGTGGCTCAAATTTCTGTGGGAGACCTACCGCACCGTCCTCGAGATTCTGAAGAACAATGCCCGCCTCGAGATCATGTACCAGTCGACCGCCCTGCAGGCCTTCCAGTTCTGCCTCAAGTACACCCGCAAGACCGAGTTCCGCCGTCTCTGTGAGCTTCTGCGGAACCACGTCCAGAATGCCGCCAAGTACTCCTCCCAGATGCACGCCATCAACCTGAGCGACCCGGATACTCTGCAGCGCCACCTGGACACCCGCTTCCAGCAGCTGAATGTGGCCGTGGAGTTGGAGCTGTGGCAGGAGGCCTTCCGCAGCATTGAGGATATCCACACCCTGCTGAACCTGAGCAAGCGCCCTGCCAAGAATGTCATGATGGCCAACTACTACGAGAAGCTGGCTCGCATCTTCCTCGTCAGTGAGAACTACCTTTTCCACGCTGCTGCATGGAACCGTTACTACAACCTGCTCCGTCTGTCGTCGGTCGCTCTGGCCTCCGGTCAGGGTACCAAGAAGGACAACCCTTCGGTGACTGAGGCCGAAATGACCAAGGCCGCCTCCTTTGTGCTCCTGTCCGCCCTCGCTATCCCGGTCATCAGCACCACCCGCTCGCGCGGCGCCCTGGTCGACGTTGATGAGGCCCGCAAGAACAAGAATACCCGTCTCACGAACCTGCTGGGTATGCTGCAGCCCCCATCCCGGTCTGTGCTTTTCCGGGATGCCCTAAACAAGGGCCTTCTCAAGCGTGTCCGCCCTGAGATTCGGGATCTGTACAACATTCTAGAGGTCGACTTCCACCCGCTGTCGATCTGCAAGAAGATCACTCCCATCCTCAAGGAGATTGGTGCCGATCCGGAGATGGAGAAGTATGTCCTGCCGCTGCAGCAGGTCATCCTCACTCGTCTGTTCCAGCAGCTGTCGCAGGTCTACGAGTCCGTTGAGCTCAAGTTCGTGTACGACCTGGCTCAGTTCCCTGCCCCCTTCCAGATCACTCCCGCCATGATCGAGAAGTTCATTATGAACGGCTGCAAGAAGGGCGATTTGGCAATCCGTGTGGATCACATCTCTGGTGTCCTCACCTTTGACTCGGACATCTTCTCCTCGTCCAAGGCCATGCACGCCGGCAGCGCCGCTGGATCGGCAGAGAACGAGTTTGGCTCCGTGCAGCGTCTGCAGCACACCCCGGCAGAGATTGCCCGCTTCCAGCTCGCTCGCCTCGCCAAGACTCTTCACGTTACGTGCATGTACGTGGATCCTTCTTACAACGAGGCCCGTCTACAGGCCAAGCAGACCGCCCAGGCCCGTGCCTTGGCTGGCACTGCTCAGGAACACGAGGAGACCCTGGCTCGCCGTGTTATCATTGAGAAGAAGAAGGAGGCCGCCACCGATGCTCTGCAGCGCAAACAGCGCGAGGAAGAGACCCGCAAACGCATCCGGACCCAACAGATCCAGGAGGCTGAGAAGCAGCGATTGCTCAACGAACACCGGGATCGGGAGCAGAAGCGCATCAAGGATGAGCAGGACCGCATTCGACAGGAAGAGCTCAAGAAGCAGCTTGAGGAGCTGAAGACCGGTGTGAAGGGCATCGATATCAGCGAGATTGATCTAGATGAGCTGGATGCCAACCGCCTGCGCGCCATGAAGCTCGCTCAGCTGGAGAAGGAGAAGAACGAGCTCAACGACCGTATCCGTACCACGGCCAAGCGCATCGACCACTTGGAGCGTGCATTCCGCCGCGAGGAACTCAAGCACATCCCCGAGGACTACGAGAAGCAGAAGAAGCACGACATGGAGCTTTACGAACAGACCAAGGAGGAGACCTTGAAGGAGGCCAAGGAGAAGCACGCCGAGGCCGTTGCCCTGAAGCACCGTCTCAGCCGCCTTGTACCCCACTTCAGCAGCTTCCGCAAGGAGCTGTCGGAGAAGCGCCACGAGGAGTTCGAGAAGCGTCGTAAGGCCGCCGAGCGCGAGTTCGAGGCCAAGAAGAAGCAGCGTGTCAAGGAGGTGCAGGAGCGCCGCCGTCGCGAGAAGCAGGAGCGCGAAGAGCAGGAGCGCCAGCGCAAGGAGGAGGAAGAGCGTGCTCAGCGCGAAGAGGAGGAGCGGGTCGCCCGCGAGGAGGAGCGCCGTCGTGCTCTGGCCGAGGAGAAGGCCAAGCGCGAGGAAGAGAGAGCGTGAGTTCTAACCTCCTGTGTCATTGTATTAATTTTCGTCTAACATGATCAATAGCAAACTCGACGAGACGGCTGCCCGACAAAAGCAACGCGAGGAGGAGGCCGAAGCTCGTCGCGCCCAGCGGAAGACTGGACCTGTTGCAGCAC